GAAAACGGTGCAGTTCGGCGACGAGGGGAGGGTTGCACTTCCGTTGCTTCCTGTTCTCTATACGGCAGTGAGAAGCAGCAAAAGCAACCCCTCCCCCTCCGAACTGCGCCATGAAAAGTTATCTTGCACTTCCGTTATCCCTAATGCACTACATAGATCGAGTCTTATTCTCTTTTTCACTACGATCCCGAATGGAAGTAGGCGCGCCTCTCGAATGGAAATCAATCAGCCCTAAGAGCTTCGTTCTTTTTAATGGGTTGGTGTGATTGCAGCAGGAGCAGGAAAATCTACATAAAATGACAAGATTGTGCGTCTGAAAACTACATAGATGGCCATTTTAGGTTAAGTCACAAGTGTTATCTTCTTATGTCATGAATGCTTTGGAATTCGATCAGTGGACTGAGAAGAAATTGACGCAGACAATAACGGAGAGAGGCAGTAGTGATTCTATAGGGTAAAAGTAGTTCTAAAGGGTCTCTTCACTGTGGAGAAATCTTTTCGGTGGCTCCAAGATAAGTTAAGAAACTGATCGGTCGGAAGCTCGCTTAATAAAAGTAATATCAAGTTTTGGCTCGCCTGCTTCTGGAGGGAAGGCCGGGGCACAAGACGAGAGAGGAAGTCGTCAACAAGATTAAGTCATAAGAAGAATGGATGATTCGATTTCCTGGAACTGGATGAATCAAAATACCATCTCCATGTCATTGCCAAGCAAATGAGTGCCCGAATACCAGCGTTTCCGCGTTCTCCGGAATAATTTGGTCGAACAACGGAAGTAGGCCGGAAGTGCTCCACAGTTCAACACATAAGGAGCTGCTCCATTGAGCTCTGAGGTAATGAACGAGAAATGGTCCACCTCTCCGCGAAATCTTTGTAGGACTTCCCCCTCTTCTGTAGATTCTTTTCTCGTCAAAGCTTGATTACCTGGGAGCAGGTTCACCCAGATAGGGCAAGGCCAGGTGTTTGAAGGAATCAAACTCTGGCGAGAACAGGACGCGCTCGATCATGTATTTTGAAAAGGACGCCATTCCCACGAAAAACAATAAAGTGGCACTAGGGTAGGAGATTTTCAAGTTACTTCGCAGGAAAAGTTTCGAGAAAGCTGTACTACCGTCTGATAATGCCCGACCGCACCAAGCAAAAGTATATGTGGGTGGGTATCTAGCCTAAATAGGGGCTTGTAATCATGTGATAGTCATCGGTGTGATAGCAAAGCTGTTCAAGCCTCTTAAGGAGGATTTCCGTGCCTGTGCACACGCTCGATAGCAGCTCGAGACGGCAATCGAAGATAAAATTTAATGCTGGAGTAAATGAAGGATTTCCGGCTTAAAGGCAAACGATTTACAAAAACAAGGGCTTCGTAATTAGTGCAGAATTTTATGTCTCTTCCTCTTTCGTTGAAAACATCTTCGATAAAACTCGTTCTTAGATGTCATGGGACGGCAGCAATATTAGAAATATTGATGCACAGTTGTAATGGTGATGGGGGGGGCATGCTTGTATGGCTAGAGCTGAGCAAATTTCGAATGTCTCATCTGTTTGAAACCTCTTTGATAAATTTCAAATAAGTTCCAGGTTAGGTTAATCGACTTAAATCTATCTATTAAGCCGGACTACAACGGAATAGAAGGTCAAGCCCTTCGGGAAGAAGCATTGGCCGCAATCGAATTGGTGGTTGATCGTCTCGAAGATCATTTTGGATGGACGGAACATACACGAGTGCCAGCTGGTCAACCTCGCCTTGGACCCGCCCCTTTGTTCACTTTTGAAATACATGTACGTTTCTTATGTTTCCTTCCAATTGCTTCTGGTACATTCTTCTGAAAATGACATGTGGCTGTCCCAATGGGAGTGCCAGCAATTAGCGTAGCCCATCATCCTTTGTCTTCCTTAGGAAAGCCATCAATGGACTTTAAATTGCTTTTGGAGTGCTGTTTTTTCCGCAGTTCTATGGGCCGCTGTGACGCAGAATTTCCTGGAAGCGTTTTCGAGGCCTTTATCGTCTGTTGAAAGAAAAGCCGAAATATCCTATGAATTGTCAATATATTTGGTGGTGGAGCAGTATGAAAGCACATTGTATGGAAATGGCCAGGTTTCTAGGACGAACTTGGGAGCCAATCGCAGCGTTTTTCGGGTACCCCTACTTTATACAGGGGAGTGAGTGGGCCTCCGAATATTTACGTCGAAGGCTGGTATCAACCTATTACGTGTCTTGACGTTCAACTAGGTTTGTAGGTTTATAATCCGCTAAGTTTGTCTGTTGGTGTGTGTGTGTGTTGTGTGTGTGTGTGTGTGTGTGCTGTTGTGTGTGGTGTGTGTGTGTTTTGTGGTGTGTGTGTGTTTAAACCGAACTAAACTCATAACTTCCTTCAAAATAGCGATAGCGCGCTCAACAGTATGGGGTGTCTGGTGGGGGCGCCGGGCTCGGTTGGGGGGTGGTCGCTGTTGTATGAGGGGGGGTGTGACAAGTAATTGGACGGAGGTTGTGCGAGAACACAATAGGGTAGGGCAGGAAAGGGGGGCTGATAAGAGCTGATATAGATACCGCAGGAGGTCTTAGAAGGGGAGGGTCACCATATTTATAGCGCGGGCTACAGCAACGATGGGACGTTGGTTCCAAGGAAGTAAGATAGGGGGCAGGATGGGAACATTATTGTGGGCGGCAGGAAGTGATAACAGCTGCTAAGATACCATAGAGGACGCTTTTAGTAAGTGTAGGTTCCTATTTCATAACGTCAGCCAAGCAGTAGCACGGGATTTGCCTGTGTCCCTGACGTAGGATGGGATGCAAGCATTATTGTGGAGGTTGTAGGATTGATTTGTACTGGTAAGATACCATAAACCAGCCCTAGACAAGGGTTATGCACCCTGCGTCGCGCCGACGGGTAGGACGATTGGTTGGAAAGCAATGATATAGGAGGACGATGGGAATGGTGGGTAGGAGAGGAAGCCCTCTCGTCAATGGGCAAAGGCTTAATGAGCCAAGATGTTTCTACTCCTTAGCGATATAGTTCAAAGTTGATTCGACCGCTGTTAAAGCCTTTAGGTTTCAGCCCGAAAAGTACTTCAGGTTGTCCGGAAAGTTCTGCAGGTTTTGTGTTACTATTTTTTGCACATTCATTGCTGATTAAAAACTCATTCTCCTTGCGTCTCAGTAGTACATCCTGAAGAGAATTCTTTGCGCTATCTGATGGTATAACTGCTTTCATATCATTGCTTGATGAACCCCTTTTTTAAGATTTTTCCAAGCATGTGAAAAAGAGACTTGGACGACAATAATCATTGTTCTTCGACTCTAATTGGGCAATCCGCAATCGAACAGCTCAAAAATTAATCAGGTAAGGGGCCCAATAGTGCTAGAGAAAGCACTGTGCGCAATGGTTCAACAAATTTCGTTCTGGAGATTTCAGCCTTGAAGATGAACCTCATAGCGGTCGACCTAAAGCAATATCTGACGAGGATTTTAAGGGGATTTTGAAGGCTGACCCATCCCAAACAGTTCGAGAGATTGCAGAAAAGCTAGGCGTTGGCAAATCCACTGTTGCAGATGGTCTGGAACGCATTGGGAAGGTGAAAAACTCGACAATTGGGTGCCCCACAATCGGAGTGACCGGCAGGAATCGGCACGTCTCGAGGTTCCTTCTTCACTGCTTTTGCGCAGCAGAAACGACCTGTTTTTGGGCCGAATTGTCACCTGTGATGAAAAATGGTCATGTATGATAACAGAAGACGTTCCGGACAGTGGTTGGATTTCGACGAACGCGCATTCGCAGGTAGTTCAAAGGCGAACCCTACCAAAAAATGGCTTGGTGGATCATTGGCTGGTGTGATCCATTATAACTTTTTATCACCAGGCTAAACCATCACAGCAGAACCCTACTGTGAAGGAATCGACGAAATGTACCGAAAATTTTGTCAGCTGCAGCCAACACTTATCAAAAGAAAGGGCCCGATTCTTTTGCATGACAAGCGCCCGCCCACATGTTTCACAAATCCTATCCATAAAAATTGAACGAATTGGGTTGAACTTATACCACACGCACCAATGATCTCGCAGACCTTTCAGCGCAGACCGACTAGTCACCTTTTCAAACATTTTCAGAACTTCCTTGCTGAAAAATACTTCATCAATTAGGACCAGCAAAAAAAGACCTTCGTAGATTTCGTGGATTCTCGACCACCCACTTTTTGCTTTGATGGGATTTCTCGACAGCTGTCACATTGGCAAAAGTGTGCTGATTTCGAATGGTGCTTCCTGTTGATTAAAAATCGGCGATGAGTGTTAAGAAGTTAAACACTCAAAACCTGCAGAACTTTCCGGACAACCTAATAAAAGCCTGAAGGTGTCTGTCAGTGAGCAATGATAAGAGCCACTAGTAGACGGATAGTCAAAGCTGCTCAAGCGCGTAAGCGCCAAGACAGAACGAGCTGTCACTAAATTTCTATATTGTTACCACCGAATTTCTTTCAAAGCGCCGAGCTCGTCCTATTTCCAGTGTAATGGTGGCTGTTTTGATAAATGTGTTAAGTACTGGGCATTGGCAAACAATCATCAGAAGAGAAAGATTGCCGTATTCTAAGCCATGGGGATTAGGCCAAGTGTTGAGCAACGTCGGAAATCTCCTGTCATTGGTCCAAAATCGCATAGTTAGACCATCGCGGCGCAATATGCGCGTCAGCCAAACTGGTATATGATAACTGCTGTTCTACGCCGCAGTTCGCGTTCCGAAAGTTACCACAAGAATGCTTTCTTGAGCTAGCTTTGTGAGGTTGAGTTATAGAAAGCAGATTGTGAACCATTTCCGTGGCATTTTCTTTGAAGAACGGCTAGTCTTACTTCCAGCATCGGAGTGGCAGTTCCCTAGTAATGCTCGTGACCTTCTACTTCAGACCTTTGCCTTTTCGCGTGACCAGATGTAAACAACTGCATGACTCTAATGGGGAGGTTGCGCGAAATCATAGTCCTTCCCGCTTGCTCACCCCGAAATTTGTCTCCAAGAGTTATGGCCTTTGGCGGACTTTTTTCGTATATAACTCGTAGTCGAGAGGTACATTTTCTGTGAATAATGACCATGAGAAACTGTTTTTGTTATATGAGGCAAGCCATTTCGAGGAGCAGGGGAAGTTAGAGAGAAAGAAAGAGTCTGAGTGAAGTTCATTCTCCCTTTTTCAATTCTGCCTGTTGTGTAATGTATTTCTCAAATTTATTAACAGGGTGATGAACCGGAACATTGGCGGTACGTGCTGTGTAGTATTCGGCAAGAAATCAGTCGAGAAGAAGCGGCTCTGAAAGAACTTCGAACAGTTGAAACAGGACACCGGAAAAGAAGTCGTCTCACAGACTGGATTACTCGCAAATGGAAACGGCGGACAGGCGCCCCGTCGACACATGGTGAGCGCTTTTCCCATATTTTTATGCTGTATTTTAAATGCTCAATATGCAGTAACCACCTGGTCTGTCGACGACGTGTCTTTGTGGTTGAACTCACTGGGCCTGTCGCATTACGCCAGTCAATTCAAAGCAAACGACATTCGTGGACATGAGTTGATACATTTGGAACGAACGGATATGAGAGACCTAGGAGTGCTGAAGATTGGACATGCAAAAAGGCTGCAGGTACGCTTTTGTGCTATGCTTTGCTTTTTGAGTGGTCGATCCGGATTATGGAACCATGTCAATGCCTGCGTAGGTTGTTTCGATGTATATGATTCGTAAACGGTTCATGATCTCGATCACTCACTATTCGCTTTTTTAAGGCTCATCATGGTGTTATCTAAGAGGCAGTGTCCTTTCCGCGTCAAAGGAGGGCAGCGGCGCGGCCGCAGGCCTGTGATACATTTGTCCCTCAGGGCTGCGTAACACGAAATCCAAGAATTCGCGGTTTTTTGATGTCTCCGCCTATAGAAGTGGGGTGAACTCCGCGCTGCTCAACTGCGTTCGCTTCCGCGCTGCAACGAACAGTCACATAATCTTCACGTTATTGTCACAGCAACTAACAAAAGGGAACCAAAAGTCAAAATGCCCCCGCTGTATGGAACAGCGCCGAAAACTCTATGAAGGAAGTGCGACTGATCTCAGTGAAACTCAGGGAATTCGCCCACGGTAAGAGGGCGCAGACAAGCCGTGCGACACCATCAGTGGAACCCAGAGCCCGAAGCAACTAGAAAGATTTAGTCGTTCTTTGAGTACCCCTCCTAGCTTTCTCTTGACATCCAAATTACCGCCGCAGCCAGTGGCTTCCCCTCGTCCGCGCTTAATACGCTTTGGCAGAAGGAAAGACACGCGTCAGACGTGCTTGTTGAATTGGCTAGCCATCACCGCCCGGAAATGTGAGGAATGAGGGCTCTTTGCGCCGCTTGACCCGATTTGTCTCAGCTTTATGCGTACCACGCTGCTCTCAAGCTATCGAATAGTTCAGGTCGGCTGAGGGGGGTGTGCGCATCAACTTAACTGCTCTCAATATGAAGGGTGATTTTTGGATATCTGTGAACACTAACAGAGCCCCTCTACATGTTATGCTCATTCGCCCGTTCTTCCTTCCGTCAGCCCTCACTCCCACTTGCTACCGGAGTTTTTCCCCCTATGCAAGTTGGTTTAGTGGCAGGAACAATACGGTCTGTACCCCATATAACTGGGCCAACTGGGCCTTTTTGGTGGCCGGGTATGCACCACCCTGTCCTTCACGATCTGTTGCCTGCCAGCTTCCACAAGTGGTTTGGAGAAAGGCTCAAGCCAAAACCTAACCTCCTGAAAACTCCCACAGTTTGCAGACTGTGCGTTCAGACTTCGCGACGGCAGCGCTTCGGTCGCGCGTTCGACGCGATCGATGCAGTTGAAAGCATGCGCATCGATCGCGTCGAACGCGCGACCGAAGCGCTGCGTCGCAAAGTCTGAACGCTGGCTTACCGGCACCGCGCCCCAATAAACGTGAGCGTTGGGGCTAGTTCAAATGCGTTTTGGAGGCCGTTACACCATTTCGATGGTAAGACCACTTTATTGGCGTCGGTCTTGTATCTTTTGTGATCGCCTGAGCTGATGATATTTTCAGTCTGCAATTGCTGAGCTTCGGGAAAAAGAAGTGGAATTGCGTCGTGAAAGTCGACGAAGTGGACGGAAGGGCACAAGTCTGTCGGTCGAACGTGCCCCAGTAGAACCTGCTCCAGAACTTCCCAGTTTGAGCAGTATTTGATCATTGTCCATCTGAGTTCTCTGCTTCCGCTGAACTCTACACAAATACAGATCGTTAATGTTGAAGGTCCGACTGTTGCGCGCAGTTGAACGACCACGTTTTTTGATGGTCCTGTTCAAAAGGCCTAGTTTCTCAGTGACGCTTTGACGTCATTAACATAATGTAACTGACAATCAGTTAATAATCTATATATTTTGTTGATTGAGTCTTTGTATGAGCTTATATCGATTACTGTTTATTTTTATTTATACACAACGAGTTCTACAGTCTAATCTAACTAGATGTTTTGTTTGTTTATGTGGGTAATATTGTATTGTGTATGCATGAGTACAAAATGTGTTTGTTCTGTTGCTTGCTTTGCTTTAGGGTATGATTGTAATAGCGCGCGATGCCACTGACTATTTCTATATGTCTGTGTAGGTGCTGATAGGCGGTAATTCCGTTTTTCACGAAATTCCGTCTCGTGATTCTCTCAAACCCCGCCCCGTAGACCGCGTTCAGACTTTGCGACAGATCGCACGAGCGATTGTATCGCGCGACAGCCACCTGGGGCGCTCCACCGCAAAATGGTGCTCCGCCGAAACGGTACGACTCAAATTGGCACTCGTGAACGCGGCCCAATTTGAATTCTACCGCTGCGGCGGTGTACCGCTTGGCAGTGGAGCGCCCCCGGTCGTGGTCGCGCGATCGATCGAGCGATTGCGAAGTCTGAACGCGGTGTTATTGATCGTTTGTGTAGATTAATGTCTAGTCGTATTCACGCACTTCTGAAGTGCATTCTGCCTTGTTGACCACTCTCAACGCTCATCCAATAGGCCTATGTTTCCTCATCCTCCTATTCATTATCTCTACACCAAATGTATGCTATTTCAAAATCTCATATGTTCATTTCCTTTGTCGGTATATATACTTGTGATGCTTTCTGGCGAAATTTCCATGTTTTGTCTCTCCCATTCAGAGAATCTCTTTGGTTCACTTCGTCCTTGTTTCAGTTTCACGTATAGACCGTTAAACGCATTATTTCTATCATAAATTATTTATTTCTTCATTTATTTACACCGAATCGAAATGAATACCGATGTAGTCGAATCGCTCCTTTCAAAGGTATGGCCAAAAGGCCCCATGAGGCGGAGAAATGCGGTACCATAGCATCAGCAAGAGCGACGTTACGAGCTGACACCCATCGAACAGTATCGACCAGCTGAATAGCTGCTGCCGCACGATTTGCCACGAAAAGACGTCCTGAACATGGCGAGTTCATTCAGTGTGGGCTACGAAAAGTACCAATTTTAGTGTGTTCAGGAATGAACACGCGCCTACCACTCGCGCAGCGCCCTGTTCGAATCCCGG